GCTGAAAACTCTCAAATCAAAAAATTGGCACAATGCCCTATGCAGAATAGTTCTAGAATGTTTCATATTATGGAAGAGAAGTGAAAAAAAAGTACCTTGCGTTAATGAAAGATGAAATTCTCGAACGCGATGTTTTGTTACCACTTCACCGATAATCCGTGGAAACAGTGCATAGTCCGGCCCTGAATATTTTCTTCAAAAAATATGCCAATTTTTTGATATTTTCCAGATGAAATGCTTTTTTTTCTATGCTTCTTATATATTTCTGCTGAACTTAAATCAGCGTTTTTACATGTTTCTGGAACTCAAAAGAGCAAAATTAAAAATTTCCGGAGAAACCAGCTTTCAATTTTTGCAATTTCAAAAAAATATTTCCTTGGTTTTTTCGTTCGGGATCAAATAATTGATATACAGATGCACCAGTCCACATAAAAGTATCCAAAGTAAAAAAGCTATATCCGGCCTGGAGATTTAAAGATTTATCGCGACCCTAAAAGTTAACGTGCTGTACTAGTGGCGTCACCTGTGTGTATGTGTGTGTGTGTGGGTGTGTGTGCGTGCGTGTGTGTAGGAAACTCCTAGTGATATGTATATTTATAATTATGTACAAAACTGAGTTATACAACATAAAATCAGATAAGAATAACAGTACGAAAATAAAGGCGGCGAGGTTCTGGGCAACCGAAGCTTCCCAGAATAGGGTTAAGAAGGAAGTAGAGAGGCAGTGGATTAGTTCCAGATCCCGGAGATGGGGAGCGAGTGCTTTTACACTTCAGCAGTCAGAGATTACTAAGATTGCAAAAACTTTAACGGAACAGGGTGTCCAGAGGTTGAACCAGGGATCGGAGTATTGCATCTTAGTGACGCAATTGTTCCTTACGCTATTTCTAACAAAAAACCATAAATCACTATTTGACATTTTATGTGAAAGAGTATAAAAATAGGGGCAAATTTACCAAGTTTCGCATTGCTCGTTGTGACGAATCGGAACTGTTTTAGCAGATGTTCGCTTTTGAGCCGCTTGATGAGCAGCTCCTCGTTGTACGTATCCTTTCCTTTGAGCTCCCGTAAATCGCCGGCTGCACATATCCCAGCTGCAGCGATCAGCAGGCATGCCAAGAAAGCGAAGCCATCACACATCCTGAATAAAATACCGAACGTATTTCTCCGCCGGGACAAAAACATTTCCGAAAAAAAAACCAATTAGGACGCGACTTCACATTGCTGCACGCGAGAAACCCACCACACTTTACACAGTTTTAGTGTGGCAGCTGTGTGGTAACGGTAAGAAATGTATACGATTTACGAGTGGCAAGGTCCAATTGTGGTAACGGTAAGAAATGGTAAGAAATGCAGTCCGAAAAATTTATTGGTAACGGTAAGAAATGTATACACCGAAACATTTGTGGCAACGGTAAGAAATGTATACGTCGAGACATTTGTAGTAACGGTAAGAAATGTATACACCGCTTCGAATATCACCGCTTCGAAAAGATGCATGTACAGGGCCGGGGCAGGGGAGGGGAGACGGATGTATCACCGCTTTCAAGGTCGACACATCTCATTTCGATACAAACACCGCTCAGTGGGAAACATTTGTGGTAACGATAAGAAATGTATACGCCGAAACATTTACTGGTAACGGTGACAAATGTATACACCGAAATATTTCTTGGAATTAATGGACCGAAACATTTCTTACCATTATAATAATTTTATTAAAATAATTATACTACTATTAAAGGTTGAAAAGAAAATATCAGGAGAAGAAGGAAACAATGAAAAGGAGGAAAAGGATAATA